GGAAAAACTGTCCTACCCGCAACAGTTTCATTCAGAGACTTTTTGGAGTGCCCTCATGCGTTTCAATCAGTCATTTGAATAGCCTTTGATCAAGGCACCCGCGGCAAAATGGATAGCCAAGACTACACGACGAAATGCTTGCAAGCCCGAATTTAACTATAAAGATCATGGGTTGAGCTGATATGTCAATGCCATATAAGTAACCGTTTTTTATTATACCACAATTTCCGCATTTGGACAATTGTCAGACTTATAAGGCCCAAAGAGACCCTACTTTGCGCGGGGAGTGGCCCCGTGAAGTGTGGACTAAAAGAACATTCGAGAAATAGGAAGCGGTAGGACAGCAACTCGTGCCTTCTTTTGGGAATATTTTAGCTGTGCCAGGCCACTCAAGATTGACAGGAGTAAATTCTACTGGTTGCCCTGTTCTATTTACGATTTACTGAGCTGAAAATAGAACGCAACGTTTCGACATATTTTTGTACATCCCCCTTTTCAAAGACAAAAGCAAGTCTCCGTGCAGAGAGGTCCATTCCAGTGTAATTTCGTTGACATCAGATTAGACATTTTTGTAGCTGCATCATAAAAATTGAGGACTTTTATTTCTATTGGCACAATTACGAATATAGAAAATACAGATAAAACAAAAAGAAAACTGTATTCACCAAAAAAGACAAAAATACGCTCAGTTTAAATTACGTACACACTGTAGCAAATGTTACAGAGGTCTTAAGTTTGTAAGGATGTGTGTTAAGCTGTAGTTGGCACATCTCTTAGCACTTTTATAGGTACCGACATTAGTCTCAGGATGTGGAAGGCCCATTAGCGTTTTGTGGTATTGGAAAAGTTGTGCACTAAACTCCGAAGGATGTCTAGCTGACCCAGCCCGTGTTTAAGTGAGGAATTTTCGGAAAGTGTTCGGGGGAACACACTTTGGAGATGACAGCCTAATGATGTCTAGAAATGTCAAGGTTAATTTTCTCTGAGGCAACCGTTAACTTTGTTAAATTTACTTTGCCAGCACTGTGATCTTTCGAGTTTTTAAAATTGTTTGTGATTTTTTAGGTACTTTGAGGAAGGAAAGAACTTGTCATGGAGATCGTTACGTATACCAATGTGAATATTCACTCAAATAAATAATGGAGGAGGGTCGATCTGAGACGTCACTGCCATGTGGCAACAACCTAAGTAGATGTAATAAGTAATACTTTATTCCAAGTACACACAGTCTCCGGATTTCGGCAATTTTCAGACCTAACGATGCTAAAATAAAGAGAACTAACTTCGCGCGTGGAGTGGCCCATTGAAATGTAGATAAAAAGAGCATTCAGGAAACAGGAAGCAGTATGACCGCAAATCATGCCTTCTTAAGGGAATATTTCAGCTGTGCGAGGCTACTCAAGTTTGATGGGAGTAAATTCTGCTTGGGTGCCTTGTTTGACTCAGGATAGGAACGATGTACTGAGCTGAATATAAATAGAACCCAACGCTTCGACACATTTGCGTCCAGCACTCCCCTTTTCAACAGAAAAGCAGGACGGCATGCACAAAAGTTGAGTCCAGTGTTATGTCACCGTGAATGACATAATTAGGCTCATCAGAGATTTACTGTTTGCATCGTAAAAGACAGATATTTTGTTTCTGTTGGCATGGGAAGAACATAAAGTACATGCCGATAATTTAGATGGGACTGAATATATTAACCAAAATCAAGTTCGTTTGACGCGAGAAAAGATTAGGTAGCCTTTCAGGAATTTGAATCACCAAGGCATAAAACGTGAGGCACGAAGCCATTTTAGCTGATGTTGGCAACGAACGTAGGAAGTTTCTGCCTGTGGGTTTCCGAGTTCGTCCTGCTGATCAAAGGTTGATTTCAAACATTTACAGTGTAAAAGTACTTGTGCTATGTACAGTATACGTACAATGTTAATTACAATGAGTGCTCACGTTGACATTCATCGTCTGAGGTGTAATAATACTCATTATTCTTATTTTCTCGAGATGAAAGTGAAACTGTGGCCTGGCCGATACTTGTATTGGGGAATAACAGTTACCCAGGCCTTAGATCTGAAGAGCAGGGCCCTGTGTTCTATTTTTGTTACATCGAAATGTTTATCTTTTACTAATCATTGGACGTTACTTTAGAATCCTCCTAGGAACCCACCCAACTCTCGGTCTCATTAAAAAAAAACAGGGTGGGTTGAAATCAATTTGCATTTTCGGGATTGTCGTATATCTGTCACATTTTTCTAGTATTACCTGATGTATACGCAGGCCAGCATGCCCGCAGGCGAGTGATAACTTGAGATTGCCTGTGCCGCTGGCTCCTTGGGATGGACACGGACTGCTGCTGGTACAGCGTCATGACGGGCTTGCACGAAAAAGCACGGATAAAACAATGCGGGACCAGGAGATAGATCGTGAATATTCACATTTCCCGTTGACCAATCCAACAGGAAAGTGGGAAATTGTGCCACGTCGCACATGGACAAAAGATTCATAGTGATGCAAGAATAATGGCACAACGTGGCGTATCGTGAATATTCAGCATATTCCCAGGGACCAATCAGGCCGGAATGCCGCAGCGGGCACTACGTCATCACCAAAACGAAAATAAGGGAACTGTCGGGGGACCAACGCAAACCGTCCCAAAGCGCCGCCACGCCGCTGATGGGTGCACCAATACAAATAAATTCCCTTAAACAGCAATGATAAATCCCCACACTTTGCAATAATTTTTAAAATACTCACAACTCTCACAGGTGTCCAGGCTGCACAGAAATACGATGATCGACAAGTCCCCTTTCATTTTCCTTTCAATTTTTGGGGGTTTACCAATGGTTTTTAGAGAAATTCTCCAGAAGCAGACCACCCCTAAAATGAAACAAATGTCCCTTCCCGGTAAAGTAGCCATTTTGAAAAACCATCCCTCTGCAAAACGGCCAAATAGGCCTATTGCCATTTTCAGACCCGACTGTATCCAAATTGCTCAAAATTTGAAGCCCAAAGTCCGGGCCAGGGGTTCTGTGCCATATTTAATTATATATAACGGTTTTGCCCTTANCAAGCATACTTATATTTCTCCAATTCCTCAATTTCATGGCTCTCAGGACTCTCTAATATAGAATATTTTGAGTGTATAACTTTTATTAATGAGCTTGGCGGACATATTTAGGGCCTTTTTGCGAGGGTGCACCCTGATACTCGACTAAACTGCAGGAAGATCCGCATTGCGACCATGGCACACACGCCCAATGGCAAAGACCGTTTGATACGGCCACCAAGCGGCCAATGGACGAACACGACAGAGACACGGTTCGGGAGGACGTTCCGGGCGAGATTGTGGCGCCCATGAGCCCTTCCGAAAATAGTGGTATACTTGTGAAAGGTGCAGACGGAGCTCTTCTATGTTTTAACACAGCCACGAATCGAGGTCGGATTGTAAATCGAGGACGTCCTCAGTTCGCAATAACGTGAAATTTGAGGCCACAGTCAGCATTTATGAGGGTCAGCGAAATTGCAAGGCATTTGGAAGCCGTCCTCAGTGTACGCATTTAACACGCCGTGTGTTTTAAAACACCCGCTCGAAATTGACAGTTTCGGCGCATCCCTGGATGGAATAGCGCCCTCCCTAGCTCTCTTGCTACCCTGTCCGATCCGCATTGGTGAGCACAATAAACGTCGCCAAGTGCAGGGGACGCATAACCCCAACAAATATAAAAGCCTCCAAACTGTCCAAAAGCATCATAGCGTCACCTTGCCATCACGCCTGTGGACTTCTGTAGCCGTTCTGAGATGTAGGTGTCTTCTAGTGGAAAATATGGTGAGTAAAAACGATTTAATTTGAAGTAGAATGTTGAGCATGACCAGACCCTATCTTGGTATGGTTTACTACATCATTAAATTCATGGCCCCAGTGCTGGCTATAGTACCATGCTACTAGTTAGAGCGTGGTTAAAGTGTGGCTGCTATCAACCCCCCCCCCCCATTTTGTCGATAGGCTAATGTAGATCTTGCACCGCTGTTAGAGTGAATGTGCCATGAAATAGGTGTACGTATGCAGTCCGAAAAGCTCAATCACATAATCTAGTTGAACAGGTTCCTTCAACACATTTTTCCAGCCGCAAGTGAAGACTTTTCTGTTGTCCGTATGTGGTGGTTCTAGGCCTAATTGTGTTTAAAATTTTAGTTTGGGGTGGAGGTTTTGGGTAGATGTGGCTCTTGGGAGCCCCGATACCTGTCCCCCCCCCACCAACACCACCAGTCCATACCAAATTAAAAGAAGACATGCGGTCTAATGAAAATAATGTTCAGTTGGTTTTCTTGTCAGCTGGCCTGCTCACCATACGTGGAGACGTTTGGACAGTATGGCTGATTCGTCCACCGGTTCCAGCAGCAGGCCTACTTCATCTGTTGCTCCAAGTGATAACACGTCTGACGGCCAGGAGAACTGTGGTGTGACCGCAATGCAAACCAGTAATGAGGTTGGCTGCAGGAAAAGGGACAAGAAACACTTCTGCTTTTACTGCGATGTACCCCAGGCCAAGCTCCCCCGTCATCTCCAGTAATGTCACAAGGAAGAAAGAGAAGTCATCGAGATCGCCTGTGAGCCTAACGCTGGTGTGCGTAAGAAACTTCTGTTGAAAGTTTGCAATATAGGCAATCACAGGCACAATTGTCAGGTTCTTCGTGAAGGTCGTGGTTTGCTCGTTGTCAGGTACAGGCCAAATTGCAAGGTATCTCCCGATGCATATGGACCATGCATATATTGTTACGGCTATTAGTGCGTACCGATTTGTGACGACACGTGTGCCCTTTGAAGCCAGCACCCACTCCACAGACTGACAGCACCGGTAAGAGGGCTCGTGTGGGTGGACGGGTCGCTCACAAGAGTGATTTGTTGAAACCTCCTCCTGTTGGCGTGTCGTTCCAGTTACACCAGGCTCTTAGTCAAATGAAGAGAGATGATGTGGCTTTGGTAGTCAAGAATGACACGTTGATTGTTGAATTGGCCAAGCGTGAATACATGAAACTAGGGCACAATAAAGATCAGCACGGCTACATCCGTAACAGGGTGCGTGAATTGGGTCGACTCGTCATACAACTCCGAAAGAACACCCAGCAACCAAATGCATCACTTGAATCATTTGTCCATCCGCACCACCTTTCTGATATTGTGAAAGCCGTCCACGATATTGCCGGCTTCAGGGAAGACAAAGAGTTGTACGATGTTCCGTCAATAGCACTGAAGATTGGTTATTCCGTCAAGAAGTGTGCACTCGTCTTGAAAGGAAGTGCCCTAGAGTCCGGCAGTTGTGTGAATTGAACTGGGGACACGCACACAGAACGCTGTACCAAGGAAAACACAACAAAGTCACCATTCCCCCGACAAATGCCGATGTAGTCCACCTGTCGTCGTTCCTTCATGAAGCTGGCAACCGGGAACTTCAATTCCTGCAGGGTGCTCGGGGCAAACAAATCAGTCCAGTCTGTGCCACCTCATCGTGTTCAACCGAAGAAGGCAGGGGGAGGTTTCAAAGATGAAACTTGAAGATTTCCACAAGCACCGCCAAACTGGAGGGGGAATGCCTGTTGAGTGATTTAGAACGCCAGCTGTGCAAGATGGTCCGTGTTGTCGAAATAGTCAGCAAGAGAAGCAGAACTGTTCCCGTGCTCCTAAGCAATGAGGCAGTAGCGTGGGTGAGTGCCCTTGTCGCCAAGAGACATGAAGCTGGAGTAGCCGAAGTCAACAACTTCTTGTTTGCACGGGAGTGACTGTTTAAGGGCATATGCAGATAAGGCTGGCCTTGACAATGCATCCAGCATCCAGTCCACCAAACTCCGTAAACATGTAGCAACTGCATCGCAAATTCTTGCATTAAAGGAACATCAGCTTGAAACTCTAGCCAACTTCATGGGCCACGATCTGAAGCCACATCGCGAATACTACCAGTTGCCAGATACTGTGCAGCGGGTCACCAAACTATCCAGACTTTTCCTGAGTTTGGAGAGGGGCAACCTGTCTTCCCAGCAGGGCAAATCCTTGGACGATCTGCATGTAACTGGAGGTAAGGGCACCTTGTACTCAAACCATGTTTCCCATGTTCCGTCTACCCAACGCTTGGCTTCGAACCAAGTCAACCCAACCCAGACTCCCATTTTGTAGGGCATCATACTCGGCCAGAAAGAATACCTCTCTTCCTATTCACCCCCCCCCCCGGAAGAACAGACCAGTACAAAGAAAGACGGGGACCAAAAATCACCCCCATAAATGTATCTTGCGTCAAGAACTCCCAAAATAATGTTCCATTTTGGCCCCCCCATATCTCAACGCCAAGCAGAGACTGCCAGACATCCGTGCATGTATGTGTGCTTTAACTGATTGAACTCAATTTGGGGTTTACTCTCAGAAGGCTTCACCAGTGAAGAGGACAGCAGCGACAGTGGGGACAGCAGTGACAGCAGTGAAGACTCCTGCGATGAATCCGTCGAAAACGGTAAGATTTGGTCTGTCTGTCTGTCTGTTACTCTGTCGGGCTGTCTGCTGAGCTGTCACCTACATTTCTAATGTCCTTTTCTTGCCTCTTCATTAATAGGACAGCTTCCTGGTGTTGCTGCTGCATCTCGAACAAGGGAACCCTCTCCGCCATCGAGACGAGTGAAGCGGCGTCCCTGGACTACAGCGGAGAAGACAGACGTCCAAGAAGGCCTGCGCAAATTCTTCCAGTTGAGGAAAGTTCCTGACAAGCTGGACATCGAAGCAGCTTGCACTGTGGCACTGCAGACCCGTACTTGGAGAAACATCAAAGACTTTTGTCGCAACACTATGAAGTTGTAGGCAAATTAAGTTAGGATACGCCACACCAGCCATTCTCTCGAGACATTATACCACATTGATGCTGAACCCTATAGTAGTAGGTCAAAACAACCAAAAACCTGTGAGTGTTGTCCTCGGTGTTATAGGCTGCACTCACATGGACGAGAAGTCCTCCGTCTGATAGTTTGGAAAGTATGCCCTCCATCTGCAGTGTCTACGTGTACATGTGTGTGTGCGTGTGGGGGGGGGGGAATGTTCCCCCGGTCCATCCCTGTGACTACGCCCCTGGTTTATGGATGGATAGATGGGTGAGTTAGTACCGCTTAAACTTCCTCATCCCCGCGACACCGATACTTGGCGAATTCATCAACCAAAAACCGTGAAACAGAAAAATATTCAGAAATGTTCAGCTGGTTTCCCCAAAGAATTATGTTGT